ACTAAGGTAAATCATCAAACTAAGAAAGCAAACATGAGTCTTACCCACAGAGTATGATGGGTATATGGCTAAGTTTGTTTTCACTTTGATATGTTTCCAGATACTGTACTATTTTGTAAACCTGTGAAGGAATATGAAAACTAGAGGTAAGGAATAAAAGTAGCTTAGCAAAGAACAACAACAGTAACTATCAAAGTTATACATTAAAAAAAAAAAAAAAGCAACAACAACAACAACCTGATGCAATCTTGCAATGGACAAACTGGAATCGTGAGGAAATGAGAGGTGGGTGTTCACAATAAGAATTTCTTGTTTAATCTCCCCCTTTTGGCCCTGTGGAAAAGGGAGAACTGATTGAACATGTAACAACTGAGCAACTCTGTCTCCAAAGCCATTGAAGAGCAACTCGCGATAATTTAGAACCCTAAGGTAGTCCTTGTGTATAGCCATTAACAAACCTGAAAAAAGATGAAGAATAAACTCTCTAGCTGAATCACAACATCCTTTAGACGATTATATATAGCATGAAATAAATGACCGCTAAGTCTACGTCATCTGTTATCTTCCCCCATCTTTGGGAGTAAAAGAAACAAAGGTACAATTTTTGTACCTAAGACCATCAAATTCTCCAGTTCTTGCCGTGAATTAGAAATACACATAGTATATCTAACTAATAAACAAGTTATTCCATTCCAGAACATGCCTGAAAACACTCCCACCAGTTCTTTCAAACAAATATCTAGAATTTATAACATGAGAGGATGTCAAAGTATGTACCATCTCCTCGGTTGTTGGTTCTTGCAAGCTTGAACATGTCATATCCGGCATCACCTAAACTCTCCTGGTACATCTGTACCAGTTCTTCATTTCCAACCCAAAACTCCTATTGAAAATTAAAAAAGAGAGCAGATATACTGATTAATATTGGTAAAAGGCCCATATTTTACATCCACAAACAGAAAAAAAGGTCAAACTGAGAGTGTCAGGCAAAGGGTGAATGAAATCACCTGGAGACATATAATGGAAGATCTTTGATAGAGCAAGCAATCCAAAATCCCTTGATTCCTAGCAAACCATAACGCTCTAAAATCACTTTCGCGTGCGCTCTGATTCTGCATAACCCCCAAAAGGCAGAAAAATTTACATACCAAAAGACATAAAATTAACGGTTTTACCATACAAAGGGAAAGAAAAGGAGCGGGAACCGTGAACCTCTTTGTCAAGTCGCTTGTAGATAGGAGCAAGGATGTTGAAAGTAGTGCAGGAAATACAAGGGTCTCCCATTGTGGAAGCCACACGACCGCTGTAGCTCCTCGAAACCGTGTCTTCAGACGCAGGATGAGTTCCCTTTTGGCCCGAATTCGAATTGGCAATGTCAGGGTCACGATGAGATTCCACCACCATCACCTGTTTCACCCAAAATACCCCCAGCAAAAACTGACATCAAAAATCAAAACAAAGACAAACCCACATCTCAAACAGACTCATGAAAGAAAAATCAAATACCATTCCAGAATTTGCTCAACTGCAGTACGGAAGGAAGGGAAAAGCAGGGGAAGGTTGCCGTTAAAGTTTGGGACGGGAGTTGTACGTTGAAGAGAGAGATGACTTGGTAAGATTTTAGCGTGCAATGCACCGACTCACACGATTGTCTTTATAACTATTATTACTATAAAACAACGAGGTCCCACGGGTTTTGCAACTGAGCGGCCTTTCTGTGGGCTGTCAATGGCTGCAGTAGTAGTGACTAGTGAATGTATGATATTTCTACGGTTAGGCTGAGGATCTGGTAGCTGTCATTTTTGTTATGACGATTTAAATATAATTTTATAAGTTTATTTTTTTTATTAAATATAATAAATATAGTATTTAAAAATATTTATTTATAATAAATTTTAATTTATTAAATAATAAATATTAATTATTTTATTTATTATTTATTATTTTTAGTAATTAAATTAAAATAAAATTTTAATGATTTGTAATTATCTAACAAAAAGTTACTGTGACCACTGCCTAAAAGGTTCTATTACTGCTATATCAATTGTAGACATAGCAATCAACGGGTTTGAGGTTTAATGGTTGGTCCCAAATCTTAGAATTTGAGTGAGGCGGAGGTTAGGGTTTTGAGTTCTGTCATCACCGTGAATTTCACCAACTTGCAACTTAATGATCGCGCGCCTCGTATGAGGGAGTGAAATGTTCGACATTCTAAGAAATCTCAACTGCTAACAAATTAATTTTACTAATTTTCTAATCATTATTCTTGTCATAAAAAAAAAAAATTGTAGACATAGCGCCCTTCCCCCCTAACTCTTTGTTTTTAAGGCTATTTGTCCTTTAATTTATATATTCTGTGTTTGAATTAATTTAAAATAGACTAAATTTCACATTTGGGTGAGGTCCAACGATTATAAATGAGTTGAAAAATTAATCTTCTATCTTAAGAATTATAGTTTGAATCTTTCATTTTTAATTATAAATTTATTCAAAAAAAAAAAAACTAAATTTCATTATGGTAGTTAAGTGGTCACTTTTACTCGATTACCCTATCATAATTAGTGTCATTCTAAAATAAATATAATTTATTTGAACTCATAAAGAAGCCAGAAAAGTCATTTCTAAGATAAGATTTAAGTGTGTTTTAAACATTATTTTTTCATTTTTATAAATTTATGTATACTATATTTATATATTAATATAATACTGATAAAGGTAAGATAACAACATAAAAACAACTAAATAACTCAAGTAATTAAATTTTATTTATTTTAAATCAATAACAAGAACAACATAAAATTTATACACTAAAACATTTAAAATATGTGTTAAAAAAGATTAATAATTACAAAGACAAAAAGTTAGACGGTTTTGAAGGGGTAAGCTCTCCATTGTAGTGATATGACATTTCTGCGGAAAGCTCTATCATTCTTATCCTCCTCAATCATTCATTACCAAAGTCAAGTCAAGTCATCAAATAACATCGTCAAGTAGGTTATTTTCATTATTAGTTACTAAATTAATTAGCTATTGGTTATATTATTCAAATATTTTCTTCCCTTCGATGAAGGAATGGGTTCCATCCCAATTCCAAAGGAGGATGGCGGTGCTATAATAATAATTTTTTTTATTATTTTTAATATAATTTTATATATTATTTAATAAATAAATATATTTAATATCATAAATTTTACATAAATAAAAAGATTAATT